AGATTCAGAAAGTCAAAATTCGATTGGTTCTTATTAAGGCCCACATTCTCCTATTGTTTCACTCACCAATAACTTTCCAGCAAATGTTGTAGCAATTTTAAGTTTCAAATTAATCAAGAAGTTGCTCATATTTGCTTCCAAATGTCCCTCACGAATGGTTCGATACACTGCTCGATAAGAACTTGACAGCTGTGCTGAGCCTCCATGCAATATTATTTCCATGGTATTATTGTATTGCACCTAGAAAATTGGTACTAAAAAATTCATAAGACAAAACAACTTCTAGGAAACGGACAGAACAAGATAGAACAATTCAAAAATCTCATTCTGGACAGTAAAAAACTTTGTTTTTCTATTATATGCTACAATAAATATTTTTTAACCAATAAATTAAAATATGCAGAAGTAATAGAAGACGTATGAATTTTATATTTGTATCACTAACACTTCAAAGACATCATAATTGAGCTGGATTGATTCTGAGTAACTCTGTTATCTAAATCCGGAATTGTCTTTTCCGTTATCATACCCTCAGCTTAGTTATCGCTACCAACATTTTGATTAAATATAATTGAAATTGCCTATTTAATTGGAGAGAAATTCTTTCAGCACTTTTTCCATGTATTCAAAAATGTGAACCAAACCTTGTAACTGAATTTCGGGAGTTTTACATTACGAATTCGAGGCGTAAGGATTGAGACGTTTAATTTCATCAAAATACGTGAAAATTCTGGCAGTTCTTTGTTTTCTAGCTCCTTTTGGAACATTTGCTTCAGTCCCTGGAAAGTAATTGTCAACTTTGATATTACTTCCGAAGAAGATTGGTATCAGATGCTGCGACAGATGTTTTACTGATTTATCTGCACACTTTACAAAATCTTACCATTGCCCAGTAATTGATCATTCTTGGTGTTATTCGTACCAACATTCCAACATTTTTTTTCAAGTCGTTATCAAACTTAGCATTACCTTCATGGCCAACATTTGTAGATATATCTGTGGCACCCATCGATTGGTTAACTTCTGTATCTTGTTGCGCTCCTTTCTCTTCCTGGATCAGTTCCTGAGAATTTAAATAAAGAACTAGTACTGTTCTACCGTCGAATATGCTCATCAGGTTAGAAAGAGTGCTTGGAACGAACGGGTACCCTAAAATACGGCTTCTTTAGCTGTTTATCTTCAACTTGGATACTTTCCCTGTCAACCATTTACTGCTACTTTCACTATTCTTATATGCATACCGATAAAGTTTTCCGCTGGATAATTACTTCCTTGCAAAAAAAGTGGAGGAATGCAACAAAGATATGTGTCTATAACTTGAACAGGTTGATTTAACTGTTACTTACTTCTGAATTAGCTATCGCATTGTTTTTTCTAGTTGCAAGCGCCAAATTCGGAACATATTCCAAGGTTAATCCAACCGCACAGTTCGGTAGTATCAGAAGTATAAGATAAAATGTAGTGGATGAACCAATAGCAACTCTGATGTACGGTAGCGATGACATAATCGAAAATTACTTTTGCATTTAAAATATCAAATAATTTCGGACTGCAAAAACAATTATATTGGAAATAGTATGGTAAAGTGACTTGAGATTAAACGTCACAGAGAGATGTTAGTGTTTAGCAGTAATATTTCAAAAATATATTCAATGAACCTCATGGAACCGAAACATTACCCGGAAGTACCAATACGGGAAGGATGAATTTCTTCTTAAAGATGTTTCGGTTTTTCAACAATGAGGTAGCAAAAAAGGGGAGGGGAAGGAAACAATGTCATTTACATTTCTTTGAAGAAAATTGACAATCTTTACATCTTCTTATCGTCGTTCTTAAAACACCGGAAATGGTTGACAAGTGAAAAAGTAGATGAGCCAAACATGATTTGGTTCTTGGTGAACCACAAACATTT